ATATATATATATGTGTGTGTGTGTGTGTGTGTGTATGTGTGTGCACTCGTCGTGGTGACGTCCTCGTCAGCGGCGAACGAAGTTTTCATTTTTTCTATCTTTATACAATGCTCTCGCCCCTTTAGCGCTCTGGATTCTTTGTTATTATATAATATTCACAACCATAATACTTGCGATTGATAATGAATGGGTTGGGTACCGTCTACCGTGGGCTTCAGACACGCGAGACTCTTTGCTCGTTATCGTTACTAAGAAATAAAAGAAAAATAAAAAAAATATAACTAAACGAAACCGTCCTGCTCCTCGGGGATCAAGCTTCTCTTTCTCTCTCTCTCTCTCTCTCTCTCTCTCTCTCTCTCTTTCGAGCAGGTTTTTCCTCGTGAGCTCTTTAAAACCGACTGTTTCGCCGATGGGCATATCGGCGATAATTAACGTCGACTCGCACCAACCCTCTACTCGGCTCTAACGAATGGCCCGACCAAAGAACGACGTTAAATGAACTTAGTCACTTTAGAGACTTCGAAGCCACTACTCCCGTTTCTTAGCGTATGAACGTCCGTTTAACATATATGCAATTTCATTCTTTTTGTACGACTTTGTAAATATCGATATACTGTTAAAAAATTTGTCCGTAAAATTAATATCGTAGTATAATTTTGATAAGACCAACAGTCTGTATTAACAAAACGCGTATTTTTTTATCTCCCAGATAGCACATGACCCCTAATGACGCCTTCAAGACGGCTTAAAGGCGCCTTAGACCTAAAATAACCGTAAAATGGGCGTCTTCAAAGCGTCATGTGCTATCTGGGCTATGACTTAAAATAACGAAATAAAGTATGTCTAGGTACGTACGGCCTTTTTAACTATAGGCAGTCGACGTGTTGAAGGCAAGACTTTGACTGTATTAACGAAATCTTCAATTGATTGGCTATGACCATGAATCGAATCATTCGACGGCCTCCTGACCAGAGAAGGTTCTTCGCAGGAAGGAAGATTAAACCTCGAGGGGGCAAGTAGTCGACATCAAACAAAACGTTCTTTCACGACGACTCCTCCAGAGAGAAAGAGAGAGAGGGAGAACGATCATCGGCTATCAGTAGATGGAGGGTAACCATCCTCATTGTTCCATGAATAAATCCTCGCTCATTTTCTGCCGTTTAAAACGCGCGAGAGGAGAATGTCGAGCGTTTCCTATCCCACCTACGACACCACACGTTCTTAGCTAGGTAACAACACATGTGTGTACCGTGACCTAGCCTCTAGAACGCGTGTCTTAACCCTCATCCGTCCCTCGTTTTCCCAACCTAATTTGTCCCTCGGTGTTAAATTGACCCAGTGGTAAAAATTAATATAACGAAATTATAAATAGTTAAATTTGCAAATTCTTTAAAGTAAAAGTCACGAAGGGTTCGCCAAATTTATCTACACATGAAAGAATAACGTTATTTCTTAGGAGAAAACTATGTAAAATTGACACAAGGGACGGATGAGGGTTAACCGCAGAGTCTTGGTCGATTTCATAGAAAATTCCTATCCGTAAACGCGTGAATTCGTTCTGTTTATACGTTGATCGACGCCAGCGAACAATCTCGAGGCGATATCTCGTGTTCGATCTCGAGAAGTCGATCGTTCCATCATCATCCACGTTTATCCTCTTGGCCTCCGATCTTCGGTTCTACATCTTCGTCTGATAATTCCACGACCATCTGAACTGAACGAAGCTTCCAAATCGCTTTACAAGCTTCACTGCGCCCGGGGGATGATAAAACGTCGGGCAAAGTCGCAAAATTCTCAACGGGTACCGTGAGTTCGTCGATCCATCGCGATATGATTTCAATTCGCCGTTTTCTACCAAACATTCTAGAAAGCACCGCGGAAAATGGAACGATCGACTCGATAATGTTGCTCGAGTTTGTATATGTGGCGTTCCAATCGGATATGATATGTACGCTCGCGATTAGTGTGACCAGATTCAGTGCATTATCGCAAATTAGGCGATTTTTAGAGTTAATTTGCGCTGAATTTTTTGTTTGCAAAAACCACAATGTGGACGATTACTAAAACTTGCGCTTCCACATTTTGTTCTTCCTTTACTTGGGTTGTTTAATGGTTCCATCCAACTCTTATGATGGTATCATTATTATCATTAGACTGCGGTTGTTAATGCAATCTTTAACACTAATATAGAAGAAACAAAATTGCACAGAAATTTCTTTCCTATACTATGGGTTTTAATGTGTTAATAATAATGCATAAATAATATTAAATACTATTGGAATATTTTGCTACATTTTGCAAGTCAGTGGACGCTATAAATGCATAAACATCCACAGTCTAATTATCATTTTCTAACATAATTGTTTCTAACGAACATCTTGTGTGAAATTACTACACGAAATACACCAAGAAACATAAAAAGGAATATCTTTTTTTAACGATGATAATAATACTTTTCCAAACATAAATGTATATATTTTTGAATTACTATTTTTAAGTTACTGTTATATCTGTACCTTCATTATCATCGAAAGAAACGATAATTCTGATTAAAAATTTGGGCACTTCTTCCTTTACGAGTTTGCGCCATAAGTTACTGAAATCTGGTCACACTGCCAGCGATGATCGAGAAGCTTCTTCTCCCCTTCGATCGAACAAGAGACGTTGTCGATCACTTGAATTCCGTCAAGGAATCCACGCGTTATTCGGTAAAATCGAAAACGAAAAATGGCCATTTTTAGCGTTACCGTAGGTTGTAGCCGTGGCTAAGATTAGCCAAGAAGACACTGAACGATCGAGCGGAGACGATCTCGGCGACTTCATTTCCTTAAGATCCCCCAGCCTCTACCCCCATCCTCGTGCTTGTTTCCCCAGTCACTTCGGAGGATTAATGGAGCAACTTTAATGAAACGAGCCCTTGGTAGGGGCTACACGCGGGAGGAGACGCCCTGGCCGTGGAATTAGACTATCGCCCGGTTCCCGCAGTTAATCTTTAACGCGACGCGAATTTGTAACCTAGCTTCGCTCCCTCGGCGAGTGAAGCCTTGGGACATTCTATTTAACACTTACTTACAATGTTTTCTTGGTGGATCTGGGCATCGAGGACGCGACAATCGTGTCTTGTGAAAATTTTTAAACTGAAATTCGATGTTCTTTATCTGAACGGTGGGATTTTCTATCGAGGTCAGGCGGGCGTGCATACGTTGTTTCGCATCCTCATGTTCACCAGAAAATAAACGCGAGCTTGAAACCCCAGGTTTCATTAAAACCACCCCGATAATTTCATTTCCTCCCTGATAGGATATCGACAACAGGGTTGAGGGATCTGAAGATCGCTCGATCGTTCCTTCAACGGACACGTAAATTAAAATCATCGTACCGTGACCGACTCACTTCCGTTCAAGAGATCCTTCATTACTCCCATATAGGATAGGAGGAAGAGGTGTGCCCAAGCTAGCATTCGCCTTGGTCTTCCACCAGGCGAACGGGACCCAAACGAAGCTTCGTCGCCAAGCGAAGCAACGAGAACGAGGAAAAAAAAACACTTCTTTTTCTCCCGCAATCTACCGAACAGACCCTTTCAACCCCGGACGTGTACCGCGGCGGACGAAAGTTATCTCAACGTATACGCAACAATCGTCTGAACGCTCTTCTGTAATCGAGATTGAAGATCGTGTAGATGAGCGGGTTCAGGGCGCTGTTCACGTAACCGAGCCACGTGATGAAGTAAACCACGCGATCCGAGGGGCAACAGGCCGGGCAGAACGGGACGATCACGTACATCAGGAAGAACGGTAGCCAGCAGACGACGAATACACCCATGATCACGCCGAGAGTCCTCGCGGCACGTCTCTCTTTCGACAGAGAGATCCTCTGTCGTTCCTCGATGAACTGATACACCGTGGTGGTGGTGGCTGTAGCACGACCACCACCAGTCGTACGTCTCGAGGATGTAGTGGTAGCGTTCCCAGCGATCGTCACTTCCGTTGGCTCGTCGTCGATCAACGAGGGTTTCGCGTGAGCACGTGGGGTCGATCTTTCGTTATGATTCGTTTCGGAACTAACCGACTCCTCCTCTGCCTCGCGATGCCTGGTCGACTGAACCGCCCCCAGTCGACTCTGTCTGGCCCGTTCACGAAGTCTCCTCCTGGTAGCCAGGAAGATCTCCAGATAGACCAGGCTCATCAACAGCAACGGTATGAAGAACGAGCCCAAGGATGAATAGATCACGTAGCCCTGTCTTCTGGTCAGCTGACAAGGTGTGCCTGGCTCGAGTTCCTCCGGCCAGTCGTTCCAACCGGCCAATGGCGGTGAACTGATCGCCCCAGATAGGATCCATACCCCAGCTATCGTTGCGAGCACCCTCTTCAGGGTGCGTTTCTGCGCGTAATTTATCGGATCGGTGATCGCCCAGTAACGATCCAACGCAATCGCGCATAGATTTAGTATGCTAGCTGTGCAACACAGGACGTCGCAGGTCAACCATAGCTTGCACAGGTGTATACCGAATATCCATTTGCCCAGAAGAAGGTAAGCGACGTTGAACGGCATCACTAGAATCGCGACCGCTAGATCCGCCACCGCCAGCGAGACTATGAAGAAATTCTGAACGATTCGCAACGGTCTGTAGGTGAACACGCTGAGGATCACCAACGCGTTACCGAGCACCGTCGCCAGAACAAGGAAGCCCAGCGTCAACGAGGCGGCCGCGGCTTCCCAGACGGGCAGATTCGAGCCTGTCTCCTCCTCCGGTGGACCGCAACCGGTCACCTCGTAGTCCTCGGTCATCGTGCCGCCTGACTCACCGCTGGAGTTCATGTTGCCTGGGCCGGTTCCTGGAAACAATGGACGCTCGTTAGAGATCGATCGAGAGAGGGAACGAAATGGATTCTTGAATCGATCGTGTTTTAACCAGGGACTTAAAACGGGATGATTTTGATACCGATATTATGCCATCAAAGCTATACCGAAACCGATATATATTACCGAAAATCGAAATAAATACCGGTATTTTTTCGGTTTCTATAAGGGTAGGGTTGATATAGGGTTATATAGGGCGAAGTTTACGTTTCGGTAGAAGTCCCTGGTTTTAACGGGGATGAATGTACTTCTGATTGAGGACATACAGAATTCGGTGTGAGTGAGTTTGTTTGTATAAAATCGTGCCCGACTTCGATTCAAAAGGCCGTTCCTTTGCAACTCCAGCGAACCGTCGCAGTATATCATTCCTCCGCGTGTAATTCCTCCAAAGTAGCAGGAGCAACATCGAACTTATGTCGAGATAATATACGGGAGGGGAATGGAGTGAGAACAATTTACGAGTGTACCAGCAGCCTAGAGCGACGCGTTAAATGTTACCGGTGACGTAAACCGGACATAAATCCTGAGGGGGTCAGACGGTTCCGGCCTGTGTTATCGGCGAAATTCTGATTTCGCCCGATCAAGGATTATCCCGCGGAAGAAGGAGGGGGTCGCTTTGATCCGCCATGTGTAAAATCCAAGCGCCGCCGTAGCACGGAAAAGCCGAGTGGTCGCGGATGAAAGACTTCGTGAAAGCAAAATATGTAACCCCGGCATTTGCGTGCGGCACTTAAAGCCGATGCGCGCGCGCGCGCACACACGGCTCTCTTCCTATTATTTTCCACGTGGATCTTCAAAGCCCCGCGATTACATTGAAACGACAGCGGCATTGAGTACGCCGGAAAATAGTGGATTCAGGTTGCCATTGAAAAAAAAGAAGAAGATTAATTGCATTCTTCGCGAGTGGATGTCGTTAAGAGAACACCACGGGTTAATGTTTCGTTTCGAGTAACGATGCTATCGTGGAACTGCAATCGAGCAATTACTTTTCTAGTCTGTGGCAGTCTATCTGGAACTGGTTCTAGAAGTTTTCCCAACGATCGATAATTTATTAAAGAACAAATTCTCGACTTGCTCAACTTAGGCAAGTTGGGTGATACTTGTTTTTGTTTTATTTGTTCATGTATTTCAAAATTAATGTAGCAAATGAAAGTGCAATTTGAGCATCAATAACACGATTATTTAAGTAGTGATGGCGAAAGCGTATTAAAGAAAGAGGCGTAATTTAACTATTCAACCTATATCTATTGTAAAAAATAGATAAAGAAATAAACGAAAATTAAAATAAAGAAACGTTTCACAGAAAAATTGTTGATTAATGATCTGTTAAAAAATATATAGGTATTCATTTAAAATAGTGAAATTGACGTTCAAATGACTTTTGAAATGTTCACCAGATTAAAAGTAAACAATGTCACTCTCTTTCCCCCTCAAAGTCAAACAACTTTTGTCTAGAATATTATCTTATGAAATGCTTTGTTTTTATAATATTTCCACCTGCCACCTTAAATGCCGCCCCCTGTATATGGTCGAAAGTGCAGACCACCAACGCAACGAGTGAGCCTGCAACGAATCGCCCAATCTTAAACTAACGACTACGCTCTTACAACAGGTCGTGGGTCAACATCCAAGATTCTATTCACAATTCACCTCAAAAACCAAGGAAAGTCGCGTGTACCACAATATTTCACTCTTAATCCGTAACGCTCCTGCCCCCCCCCCCCTCCGTGGCGACATTCCTTAAGTTTCATCGCGGTCCAACAACATCCACGGTCTCCATTTTCATTTTTCTCTCGGTTAAGCGAGGGAGACCCCGTCGTCGGCCGTAACACGTTCGTTAGCCGAAAGAATAATCCTTGGGGACTCGGAATAATTAACTGAGAAACCAACCAAATAACTAGGCCGCGAAATAATGCCAGGTTGCATTGAAAACGAAACGAACAAAAGTCTCTAATATGTGCACGCACCTCTGCTTCTTCCGTAGGATTGTTTTCAGGCCAGTGGATCCACGGTCGGAATAATCAGCTTTAGAGACAAAGAAGATCCACAAAACGTTCTGCGTTTAAGAGTGTATACGTGTGTGTGAAGATTAAACTATTCTTCGCCATTTTAATAGCGTTGGGCGATTCCCCTGCGGTTCACGCTACACAGAAACATTCACCCAGTGACTGAAACACGCTCATAACGATGATTGTTACCATGAAATTCTCCGAGCACCTCTCTTATCGAAGTGACCCTGGCTGTTTATGCCACAGAATTTCCGTGTGGCATTCGACACAGGGCCCGTTCTACACTCTGAAAACCGTTTCTCGAGGCGGTATACATGCCCCCGAATCCAAAGTTAGTTATGCAATCTCTCGCCGCGTCGCGATATTCGACCACACGAGTCATTAGAAATTTAAATCAACCGCCGCGGAACGATAGAAATTTCTGGATAAAACAGGCAACGAGCATTCCGTGTTCCGACCGTGTCCCTTATCCGTACCTTGTAAAAAAGAAGGATTTAGGTTTTTTTTCCCTCTCGATTAAGCGCGCTCAGCGACAACGTATCCGTCTAATGTTCGATTCGGCCCTTTTTACGATCCCGAATGTATTAAGCTCCGTCTATACTATGGAGGAAAACAGTGTTATATAACAGATTATTGTGTAACTTTGCTATACAAGATTATTGTTAGACGATTATATCTTTTGGACAAGTCTGTAACAAGTTTGTATAACATTTCGTATTTCATTTGTATAATGGCATCACACTTGATGGATAATTCTGTACCGAGAAACAAGATACGAAATTTTCCAGTTCAGAGGAATTCACCGACAACTATGTTATTGTGAAGTTACGCCTCGGGTCGATTCCAGAAGAGGGAAAAAAGCGATTTCGTATAAAATGCTCGTCGAATTCGAAAGTCGCGTGGAGCTCGTAACGCAAGCGTCTCTTCTTCGGCTCGTTGCTTCCGGAAAACAGAAAGCTTGTACCACGGCTTGATCCGTTTTATTCGATCCCAGCCGTGTTATCGGGCCGTGAATTCCAACGATTCCGCCGGAATCGGGGAGAAGGTCTCTCTTCGATCTTGGCCGTTTTCACGCTTCCGTGTCCTAGAACGGGACTCGATTGGTTCCTTCGAGCGTGTCGTGTCTTTATCGACGCCCCAGCGTCGAACCCGAAATAACCGTGTTTCCTGTATTTCCTGCGAACGAGGCGAACCAGAGGGCTGCCGAGAACTCTATCTACAGGCTAAAATTAGATGTAATTGAGGAAGTGCAACGGAACGCCTTTCTATAGGGAAACAGTACCGAGGAAAGCGTTTTCCTATCATTTCGATACAACTGTACGAAGGTATATCAAATCGTTCCCGGAAAACTTTTGTAACGTCAAAACTATTGCTTATTTCGAAATAATTCAACTGCGTCCTTTTGTGCAACCCTTCAACCTAACGCTCCTCTTTCATTTCCTGTACTACACACACTACCCAAACAGACAACAAATCAGTAATACCAAAATGACACAAAATATTCAGTTTGAACTATTTACACAATTGAAAATTCCACGGATCCGACGAGAGGTTCCTCGTCATCTCGTTCACAGTTCGTGAATCGTCAATATTGCAGTATTCAATTATGAATGTGTTTCCAAATTCGTTCGGTTCATCGCAACGGAGGAGGGAGGGGGGTCGTGACAACTGTTCGATATATTTTCGAATGTTACTCCTCCCACCATCATAGGTGAACAACCTCTGACAATATTAATCCGTCGGTGAGCCGCGACGATACATCTCGTCGCAGCCGATCGACCATTCGCGACACACCATAGAGCCTCCCCGAACATTTTCGATCGGCGCAGCCTCGTGAATAGAATTTTTCGAGTGGCTGGGAACGCGATCGGGCAGCAATCGCGTATTTCATTTTCCCCCATTTCGACGAATATTCGCGCGCGAAATGTGTAACGAACGCGACAGATGGAATTTACCCCCTAACCCCTCCATCCCCTGGCTACGGTATAAATATTGGCCCGCGAGAATTCCGGATATCGGGCAGATATCGGGATGTCCCGGATGAAATAAAATTGATAAGCTCGCGTAAACGCGCCCTTCGGCTGTTCCAGCGATTTTTATTCGTCAGAAGAGATGGTCCAAATACAGGCCAGGGTCCAAATATAGGCTAGTTGAAAGTATACGGTCTGGGTTAGGTGTTTCATCCTAACAGGAACAGTGTGAAACTACGATTCAGGAACCAACGAAGCTTTGTGGGTGTAATCGAGACATAAGAGTACTTAATAAAAATTATTTCAAACAGCTGTAGAATCAACAAATTGTAAAATTTTCAAAAATCCTTCGAGATACATGTATATAACACTAAAGACTATAACATATCCAAGTGTCAACAGCATACTAACCCCATATTTAGATCACTTCCTCTACTATTCCCCGTGGCCTGTCACGAGAAAGAACAACGAGTAGTGGATGCAAGAGGGTCGCGAATGAATCTCCGGTGTGGCCTAGCCAGCTGCATTAAAGCATCGATCGAAGTGTAACACGTCACGAAATCCATTAATGTTTCCCCCAAGTAATATCGTATTCTCGGTCTTAAAGCCAGATTGAATTCCGCACGTTTGAACAAGCCCGCGAGTATCTGCGTTTCGATGGAAATTATCGTCTGCGCTGCTGTTTCCTCGCTTTCCAACGGATCGATGGTGCAGAGTGGTCCAGAATCGAAATTTATCAGGTGAAATGGTCGGAAATAAATTTCTCTTATCCTTCCACACGAACTCACGTCAACTTATTATTAACCGTGGAAGATTTGTTACGCGAATTATTGTTCTCCTTGGTGCCCTATCATGTCATCAATCTTGATAAAAAATAGAAGAAAAAATTCCCTAAAATTGTCGACTTTCATAGATATGAGAACACTGTCGAGTGACTGATAAGATCTCTGAAATTTATAAAAATTTGTTCTTTTATCGA